AAAAAAATTAAACACATTTTAAACTTGTTTGAATCATATATGTAGATTTGGTGGTTTAAATTTTGTGGAAAGATTTTAGAAATTATATAGATTTTATAGTTAAAGGTGGTTTCAATATTAAGTATGATATAGGTAGATTTTGTGATTTAAATTTTGTGGAAAGATTTTAGCAATTATGTAGATTTTGTAGTTAAGGTGGTTTCAATATTAACTCGATAACATTGATAGTTTAGGAGAGATTTAAAGGAATGTAGTGAGTAAAATGGAGAAAGATTGCAAGGGCAATATGGACATGAAATGTGTAGAGGGGTAGATAAGGAATTATACACCTCTCCTAAAATGTAGAAAACCAACTTTAGCCATGTCATGCAATTTAGAAAAACTTTGGCCATTTTGCTTAACGATAACGTGTGAGTAGCCATTCCTAAGGATTTCCTTTAAAAAAAATCAATTTTTATGTGTTTGCTTACGTCGATAAGTCAATGTTTAGAAATTTAATTTCATCGATTTAAATTCTACGTTTAGAATAAATTGTGCAACTAATATCTTCTATTAATTACGTTTTCTTTTTGTTTTCGTTATGAGTGTTTTATGTTGGAACAATTAGTTTTAATATAAAAAGATAGCCACGGTCTTGAAAGCAATTTCGATACGATCAACGTGCTAGATAATATGCTCATYGATGCTCCCCAAGGTTAATACAACTTCGAACCCTGCACTCGTCGARAAAGTTTTCTTTAAAATAAAAACAAGTGAAAGATATTTTTGGTGGTTTAAAAAATACTAAAGTTAAAAATAGCATACTATAAATTTATCAACAAATTAGTCATTACCAATATTTTATAGGTTTTTTTCCAAAGTACAAACATAAAAAGTAGAACAAAATAAATTAAGGGAAAAGTGCATATTTGATGATAACTTCAAACCTCAATTTTGTATAGTTATTACAATTCAACAATACCATTATACTATTATTGATGATTATATTATTTTATTTTTATCTTTTATAAAGAATCAATATTTTTTTTATATAAACTATAAAAAATGAGTGGAACAATATCATAATACCATTATTAATCATTATATTATATTATTTTATCTTTTATAAAGAATCGATAGTTATTATTACAGTTGAACAATATCATTATACCATTATTGATCATTATATTATTTTATTTTATCTTTTATAAAGAATCGATCATTATTAATATGCGTGATGTTTTTAAAATTTATGAGTTTGAATATTTTTTATTTTATTAGTTTTATGARTAAGCTCGAGTATTGTTGTGATTGAGTTATTTGATAATTTTTATGATATAATTTTGAGTGTTTTATTGGTTGAATGTTGTATGATTCATAGGTGACAATCTTATAATTTAATTTTGAAGATGTATTAAGGGCACCATTTATTTAAAGTTTAGAAATTTAATGAATGAAATTGGATGTTTAAAGTTAAAAATAAAAAATAATAATAAAAAAACCCTCTGAATATAAAAAGTATCAATAATACACCGTTAATGTACATATTTACAAATATGCCCTCCCTAATACTCGCACTCTTTAAAATGGGCCGAAATAGTGGGCCGAAAGAGATAATATTAAATGGGCCTAGAGACATGGAAATTGCAGTTATAAGGCCCAACATTCAAACAACTTCCAAAGCTGCGTCGGTAGTTCTATTTTCTGTAAAATATTTCCAGAAATTTTTTAAATGCTTCTTCAGAACAATCATGGAATTCTCTCAGCTCCCTCTCTCTCTCTAGAAACTCCAAAAAGGGAAAAACAAAATTATTTTTCAGTTGGAAAAAGGGCATTGGATGAGAAATCCAGAGCCAGAAGCCCATTTTTTCAGGTAGAATTTAGATTTTTTTTTTCTGTTCGAGAATTGATTGCCGGAGGAGATAGGAAAATTCGCCGAGTCGGAACAGTGAACAATGTCGTCGCTGGACATTGACGGAATTTTGGTTAACACCAAGGAGCTCGATCGGCTCCGGAAGGAGCTGGAGGTGGTTGTTATCGAGATTAACAAGATGCACAAGAAGCTTCTCGCCAGTGAGTATTTGTTTCATTCTTAACGCTTTGATCGAATCATGCTTGTTTTGTTTTGTGAAATTGGTGATTTCTCGCTTGTTTGAGATCACGCCTGGTAGGAATTGGCCGAAATGGCCGACTGTTGGTCTGCTGCTGCTTTAATTAGTTTTCTAAGTCGATAAACCAACGGTTGAAATTTGGATGAGGTGATGATAATCTGATTTTTCTTACATTTCGTTATCCTAGTGGAAGTTAGTTTTCTAATAAGTGTTAGATGAAAAATCTGAGGTTTCTGTAGATTTTTGTGCCGGTGTATCTTAATTATTGAGGAATAATTTATGAACTATAAGTTCAAACTGTCTTAATTAACTAAACTAAACTAATTTACTATCCTATTACTTTCCTACAGTCTCAAGATGATCAGAAGGGGCGAGTTTGTTTTTCCTTTTATTTTATTTATTTAATTTTTTTAAGGGTTGGGAGGAATATGGTCATAATCATGGGTGTGCTAGTTACGCCACTTGACAAGATACTTGTTAGAGATGTCAACACGGTGAGGTTTTATAACAAGTTTGTGAAAAAAGTTTTGAATTTTCTCTTTTTCCTGATCCGAAAATATTATGGTGCATTGTAGTAGTGTTGAGTGATTGCATCATATTTTGGTAAAATTTTTTGTGTAGGTCGTGTAAAGGCTAGTTTCTGCGATATTCTTTTGTTATGGAAATTTTAAAAGTATCACCTCATCTTACGTTTGATGCTCGTGTTTATTAATTGATGACAATGAGGTCAAATATGTAAGAAAAATGTTTTCTAAAATTTGTTCTAGATCTCCAACGTTTATATTAACTTGATTGGTGAGGATTAAAGCCTCAGTTATTCCTATTATTTTTGGATTGTTAAGTTAAAAAAAAAAAAAAGGTATCAAGCGACGGTTGTTTATCATCTCACTTTCTTTCTGGTGCTTCTAGAGTTTTATTTTCACCAATACTTGTCACTTTGATTTCCTTCAAATTTCTGTTTGTGAATGGCATTATCCTTTATATTTGGTTGTTTGCAGCTCCTAAGGTGGTTGAGAAGCCTGGCGATAATTCATTGTCAAAACTGAAGCATTTATATACTCAAGCAAAACAGCTTTCAGAGGATGAAGTGAGGTTGGTTTACTCTATTTTTCCCGAGTTTGTTCACTTGTGTTCTTTCTTTTGTGTGTCTAGATGCATACCAAGTAAAATTCATTTATCTATCCCAAGTATATCTGGATCATAACTATTGCACCTGGCTAAGTCCATATTATTTTTTATTGCAGTGTTTCCGCCGCCTTATTGGGCCAACTTGAAACTTTGTTACCCGCTGTACCTACTGGGCAACAAAGGAGAAGGATAGGTGTTTACAAGAACTATTCAATTATACTGTGTCTTAATGATAACTTCCCAAAAAGCCTTTTGATTTAGGCTTTTGATAACTTCTAAGATATGTTATAAACATTATCATGAAAAGAGACCCAATCATATTTTCCACTCTTCTGCTCCACTTACTCCTGTCCAAGTACTACACACTTGGATTAACCACGGGAGAGGACTTGTTTGTGTTCTTATAAAAACCAATCATATCATAATTAATAAAATGGTTGTATTAATTATCATAGTGGAGATGATCAGACTCCTGCTGATTTTATCAGGAAATTGAATACTAAATATGTTTTCTTCCTCTTTGTTCCCGAGTTTGAAGCTTTTTTTTTTTTTTTTGGATGGTCGATTAACTTGAGTCCATGGATTGAGTTGCTAAATTACCGTATATTATTTATGATGCCTAATACTCATGGACATACTGATGGTGTCTGAAATAGAAATTTTCAGTTTCTATTCTTGAGGAAACAACCATATGTCCTGTTATACCTCTTCTGATTACCAAATGCATGCATTTGTGTGGCTCCGAGTTTTGTCTACACTTATAATTGCTGCAAATGGATAACAAGACTGGTAAAGAAAAGGAGAAAGGATATTGACTTTTTTATTTGTTTGCTCAATAGGGCACCATGGGTAATGGATCACCTAAAATGTCATCTTGGATTTATTTATATGACTACTTACAGCTATCAATTATAGAGCAATCATTAATTCCTTACTGCTTTTTACCTTGTTAGAAACAACCATTAGTTAACTACTGCAGCTTCTCTTGTCAAATTCTAGAGAAAGGTTATGAAGCAGTAATCTGTTGATTTACTGATTGAATGCATATGGCAGATAAAGGGAAAAGAATGAAGGCAGATTCAGATAACGCTCGCTCACCTTCCATGAGAAACCTCGAGGCTTGTGCGAATCTGAAGGATGAACAGGTCTGTATGTCATTTGCCAGTTTGTCTTGTCTTTTTCTTTTTCTTTATCTTTTATCTTTTTAGTTTTAAACAGACTCAAAAATAATTCCATTGCTTTGATTAATTTCAACTAAAGGCAGCTATTTAGTTAGCATCTATTGTTATCTTCAGGTGGCAGCCAGGGTGACACCAGATGGGGCTGAGAAGGACGAATGGTTCATTGTAAAAGTGATGCATTTTGATAAGGAGACAAAACTGTAAGTCAAATCGTACTAGCAAGTTTTTAATAGCAAGGCATGTTGTAAGTTTTGTTGAATTAATATTTTTATTTGAAAGAAAAAGATAAACTAATTCGTGGGAAGTATTTTTACAATTTTTTCCTTTTATAATTAATTGCATATTTGATTCAAAATCTAAATCTTACTTTAGTTCTTGAACTTCTATGCTTACCCCTTTGCTTTCAAACATTTTCTTTTAGTCCTTCAACTTTACATTAAAAAAAAAAAAATTTAGTCCCTTTTTTTGGCATTTGGATAGGGAGATAAAACTGAGTTAAATCGTACTAGCAGGTTCTTAATAGCAAGGCCTGTTGGAAGTTTAGTTGAATTATTATCTTTATTTGAAAAAAAGAATACTAATTAGTGGGAAGTTTCTTTCATGGATAACTCGGTCCTCATCATGCCTATGAATCAAGGTCAAAATTCACTCTTGCCTTCTCACAGGCCTCCTCAAGATTAATAACTGACTAGTGTCTTTGTGTAAGTTTCCCTTGTTGGATATTAGAATTACTATTTCTGGATGAACTGGATGTATATGTAAAAGGTTGTCAAAGCAAAGAAAGATATAGGACTTAATAATTAGAGATCAGTAACTTAAACATTTCAATTGTGCTCCTTGCTTTGTCATTCATTCATTATTGTTTTATATGTTTGATTGCGTACACTGTTTTGAGATCACTTTGGAGCTTAGTTTGTGAATTTTCAGAACTAGACAATTCATTTAAAACATGCTTAATTGTTATTATCACACGTAGATGATCTTGCAAATAGAATTTTCTTGTCCTGTTTACAGTTGTTGGTTAAATATTGAGCATCGTGCTGTAAGTACAAGTTTGATCTTAATCTTGATGAGAAATCTCATGGTTTATCTTCTATAGAAAAAGAAAAGGAAAAAAAGACCACTCTAAAGATTAAAGCATGATTTTTTTTTTCAAACACCAAAGCTCCTTCATTATATATATTTTGTTGTTTAATATATAATATGCCCATGCACAGATTTGATGTACTAGACGAGGAGCCAGGTGATGAAGACGAAGGTGGAGGGCAGAGGTAAAGTGTTCTACGTGATTATATCCTCGCCCTCAACTTTCTTTCTGCACAATTATGTAGTCTTTTATTTATTATCCTTTTTCTTGTTATAGTTCTAGTAAATTGGAGCATTTCTCCTTTCAGTTTGGTGCCTAATCAACCAATGTTTAATTCAAATTTATTTCAGAAAATACAAGTTACCAATGTCAGCAATCATTCCCTTCCCGAAACGAAATGATCCTTCTACCGTCCCCGAATTCCTACCTGGAAAACGAGTTTTAGCTGTTTATCCAGGAACAACTGCTCTTTATAGGGCAACAGTTGTCAATGGTCATCGCAAGGTCAATATTTCATCCCTGCACCATCCATGAAATTATCTCAATTACATTGCTTCTATCCTCTAAAGGCTAAGGCTATTTTATCATACATTATATTTGTTCATTTTATGTGCAACTCACTGACAAGCAATTTCTTGTGCATGGATGTCATCCTGTTAACAACTCTGCGTGCTTCCAGAGGAAAACCGATGAGTAAGTTACCTCACATTTAAAAATTCGTTACTTCGTTTCTACTTTGATGATCCCCTCTTTGATGACTCTGGTATTTTGATCTCTTTATCTTTTCATGTGAAATAACATCTCCCTAGACCCTGATTGGCAATTAAACTCGAGAGAAATTTTTTTTTGACTTTTCTGCTGTCCATTTTGATCTCTTACAAAGTATATATGGGGTTCACTCAGGGTTTCTTTAGAACTTATTTCCTTCATGTCAGAATTGGTGTCGTGAATGCTGTTTCGACCCGATCCTAAATGTTATGGTACAATATACGCTTAGATGGTGCGGTATTAGTTTTGTTGTTTCTGTTCAGAGTTTCCTTCCTGTTCATGGTATATATATATAGCCTGGTTTTTTATCTCTCTTGTACCACTTTGTGGTATAGTCAATTGTGTTGGTCCAGGATGGTCGGATGTGGTTTGTTTTTCTGTTAATTTTGTGTTTTACTGTCGTCATTGATTACTGTCTTCTGCCGAGTTCGATGTGTTCATTATCTTTACCGTCCAAGTATCACTTGTAGAAAGAACACAAATTCCTTCTATGTTCTCGTGCTTCTTCTACACATGCAAACACTTCCATGATCCGAATATGTACGCCCCGTTTGATAATTGTTTTGTGTTTTTGAAAATTAAGTTTGTAAACAAAACTTTCATTCATCTATTTCTTTGTTTTACACCTACTTTTTAAATCGTTTTTAAAATCTAAGCCAAATTTTTAAAACTATATTCAAAAACTGCTTTTTGTTTTTGAAATTTAGCTACAAGTTTAAATGTATCTTTAGGAAATGTGAAAATATACCAAAGAAATTTTGAGCAAACAAGTATAATTTCCGTAAACAGAAAACTAAAAACAAAATAGTTATCAAATGGGTCTATATATTCTATTTTGAATTGCTATGCATTACATTTTCACCGTCATGTTTCTTCTGGACAGTTACTTGTTGGAATTCGACGACGACGAGGAAGACGGGTCATCAACGTTGCCCCAGAGAACGGTACCCTTCCATAAAGTGGTTGCCTTGCCTGAAGGACTTCGCCAGTAAGCTACTTGTGTTTATATTTGTGAATAAAATATAAGGTTGTAAATCGTAGACCTAAAATTATGCATTCTCTACTTAATTTGTCTTTAAATATTTGAGCGATGACAAATGGATTCAATATCTTCACTCTTGCCCTCTAAGATCTAACTACGTAAGGAATACCGACATCCATGAGTTTCATCTCAAAACTAATTGTAATTGACAATGAGATAAGTAGATTATATATCTTATAAACCGTCATTAATTTTTTTTATCTTTTCTATGTGAGATTTTTAACATATCCCTTCAAAATGGTGGTTCTTTTGAACTCACTGATCTTGGACGAATCTCATTTTACGAGATATTTGTCCGAGTCTATTGAGCTCTAATATCATATGATTCATGGAGTTATTGACAAGGAGAGGGATAGTAATATATATTATAAATCTAGGACTTGGTTGTATGTCATTTCAAATTTACTTATTCAAATGGAATAGTAATATACGTTTGATAGATTTTTTTTCTTTTTTGATTCAATGATCTAAATAGTGTAAGTTCTAAAAACAATATTTTTATATTTTCATTATTTTAAGATTTTGAATCTAAAACTTTAAAATGCATTTTTATTTAAACATAAAATGCATAATAAATAGGTACACTATTTTATGTCGTAAGTTCATTTCTTTTTTTTTATTAAAATTAATACTATTAAATTGATACATATTATAGTATATTGTAAAATATTGTAAAATAATAATTCTAAGAAATGTATAATTAATTAATAATATTTTAAATTACACTAAATATTTAGTTGGTAACTATCCATGATTTACAAATTTATTATAAGACACTTTGAACAGCTTTTTATAATTGAAACTTAATTTTCAAATCTACTACCAAATACATCCAAAAATACAAACGTGTTCTTACCTTTTCCATGCGTATCCTTAGCCAAATTTATTTAGTAATAATGTATTTTTGTTTTGTAATCTACTTTTTAGACGTGTTAAAAGAAATTATTAATTTGAGTTTTGTTTTTTTTTTATAATTAAACTTGTAAATACAACTTTTATTTATATATATATATATATATATATATATATATATTTAATTTAGCTAAGAATTCATATGTATTTTTAAGAGAAATTAAAACATATTAATGACATTGTTAGCCAGTCAAATTATATTTTTAAAAATAGAAAACTAAAAATGAAATAGTCATCGGACAAGGTTTTAGCATGTTTTTTTTTTAAGTTTAATTTTTGTTATATACTAGTGATAGGATTGATAAAATCTTCATGTAAGATGTCTCTATTGGATAAATGTCTGTAGCTGAGCATTGAGCATGATACATATAACATGGACAATTGAACAGGTTGAAGAGTTGAACCCACAAAAGATTGGGTGAGTTAAATTATTATATCCAAAGTTTATTCAAAATTTATTTGCTAAACATGAATATAGCTCGCCAAAACATCTATTACTTCCCTTAAAATCAAAGTCTCATCCGTCATATTTGCTAAACTAAAATTAAAAATTAATTAAATATATAATTCAAAGCTTAAAAATTTAAATTTATAATTTAATTAAAAAAATATCACTTTCAAAATTTTTTTTGTTGGAGAAACTTGGTTAAGAATTTGGAAGAGTGTTCTTAAAGGGTATGAAAGAGGCAACTGGAAGAAATTGTGATTCTAAGTAGATTATTTTTTAAAAAATTAAAAACAAGACATGAAGCTATTTTCAAGTAAACTTAAAATGTTCATTAAACTCATTATAGATTTTTGCCAAAGGCAATATTATACGAGAGAAACCGAGAACCCTACCCATCACCGACCTAAAAAACTTAAGTTTTTTTGTTTTTTTTATCGGATATTAAAAAATAGAACATTTATAATTTCTAACCTATAAACATTCTTTTAAATTGAAATTCTTTTTAATTTAATTAAGCCAACTAGTCAACCTAAACACATCTCAACTAATTAAGACATTTATCCCCAATCAGTATCCCCAATTAAAAAAAGATTGAGAGTTTGAATTCTCATTTATATCAATAATAGTTAAGTTTATCACCTATTTGAAACCATCATTTTTGCATGTCTATTTTTATTTGTAAATGAAAGTTCCAATTTCTTGATTTAAAAAATATAATCTTTTAATTTTATATTTCTTAAAATTATATTTTAAGAAAATAATGTGATATGCGACACTAACCAGGTAAAATCACTGTTAAATAACAAAATAGAAATATAATTCAAAATTTCAAAACATAACTAAAATATAAATAGACCCAACACTTTCAAGTCATAAACTAAATTTATAATATAATCCTAACANTAGTAATAGAACTTCAATATTGCCTAATATATATATATATATTAATAAATTTAACTCCTATGGCATGCTTGAGTGATTGGAATAGGAGGGGTTGAGAGAGAACCATTGAGAATGTGATTGGCAACAAAGTGATTAGCTGCCTCTGAATAATGGACTCCATCCCAACTCACAAACTGAGCTTTGTTTTCACAGGCACCTCCATACACCAACCTCCCATTAATGCTTGCTTTTGTCCCACACCACACATGGTCATACCTCACATGGTACCCACAGCACACCTTGAGCGGGTCGGGAAACCCTGCGAAAGTTCGGTTTCGGAGATACATATCAATCGGTTGTTATTTCGAATATATGTGGACTTAGAAAGACATGTAGCTGAACTAACCAGGAGCATAGGGTTCTTTTACCTAATTTGAGTATAGTCTACCATCACCCAACAGTTTGGCGGTTCTGTTTCCTATCCTACCCTCTTAGAGTTCGTTTGTTGTTTCCGTAATGGGTAGAGTCTTCCTTTTATGCTATTCGGGTCTTCCTTTTATGCTATTCGGATAGAATTAGGAATATTATTAGGATATCAAGGTATAATAGTAATGAGTTAGGGAGGTGGTTGATAAGAATTTGTTATCAATAGAATGAGGGCGAAGGGATGGAGGTATGCAATTGTTTAGTGTGGTTTAGGCTTGAGTAAGAATATTCGAGAGAGGAAAGGGTCCAAATACCTCGAATTACTGGACAGTTATTCTTCTATCTTTTATATTTTAATCTATTTCTAGTTGTTTGGGTTCGATCGCATACATCCATTTTCAAGAGTGTTGAGATGCTTCAACATAGATTGTGCACAATTGTGTCCTATACGAGCACAAGATTGACAACCGCTCATAATATCATTAGAATAACCCAAGCTAAAAAAGAAAAACTCGTTCCAAAAGAGTTCAGGACGTGTTCTAATTAACCTAACTACACACCACAATCATGTCCTATATGAGCACGTGTTCATCATAAGGAAAATATGATGGGTGAGCCTACCAACAGAAACACTTCTCTTTCGTTCCTATCCTCTCGGTTCAAGGCAATGGACTCTTAATCTTTTATTCCCTCGATACAAAACAAGACAAAATTTATGCAATACTTTCAAGTGTTGATGAGGATGGTGATGATGATTAAAGGGATGGAACTGACCTTGAGTTTTGCCATTGCTGATTAGGGCATACTTGGCAGCATAAGCATCCACATAGGTAATGGCAGCTTCAGGGAGCTCTGTCTTAAGCTTGACCAATCTGGCTTTGAGCTGATTATTGAACTCCACAGACATGTCATTTTGCGCCTTGATGCAGCCATGCTCATCAAGGAAGCCAGGGGCAGGGTTCAGTATGTAAAATTGGTTCACTGGAAGGCAACCAAATGGACCTGTGTTGTGTATCCAGAATGATCTCCCTCCTTGCTTGTATATTCTCTGAAATTAATCAAATCCCGCCAAATTTCGCTAACATTCTCACAAATAACAACAAAACAAAACAAAACTATGATCTTCATTAGTTTGAAACTTGTTTTAATTTCAGTCCAGACCGGTTTTTGGCCAAAAATGATGGCCATATAAGTCTAGGGAAATAAAGAAAAGAAGAAGCTGCCAAACCCTTTTGCAAACCGAATCGTAACAAAAATCTATATATATTTTGATAACCCGGAATTGAAGCTATTTAGCTTTTGGCTTACTTCCCTTTATCTGGGACACCAGCACCCGTCCCAAAGTTCGGATCCGGAAGACATTAAGGATTTTTTTGGTATTAAGATCGCCTGAAGGTTTAAACATGGGACCTCTTTGATAGGTGTTACCAACGGGGCTGGCTGTTAGGGGCAATCGTAACAAAAATCTATATAAAATGAACTGGGTGACTATTATTTGGTTTTAGGCTTTAAAAACCAGAACTAACCAACGAGCCTAATTCAAACCAACCTATAACCAAAGTCAATATTAAGTTCAAAGCATGTTGGAGTAATTTTTTTCCAAAACTCATTTCCCTTGCATTCTTATGGCAAAAGACTGTTTTCCAGCACAGTTGAAGTTGTAATTCTTTCTACGACGGACTGTTTGAAAGAAATTCGAGTAAGTTTTAAACAACTCTGTAAACTGGAAAAGTAGTTTTCAAAAACCACTAATTCAGAAAATACATCTGAACTAAACAGCCAAAAGCCTATAATATAGACAGGATATCAACAAATGGATGTTATTCAAATGTATCAGATGACATAAGAATGGGATGAAAACAATTTAGTGAGAAAGAGGAGAGAATTTTGGTTACTTGAACTGCAGAGGCAAACTGGTTCACAATGTCAGGCAATGCAGCATGAAGTTGATCAGTGCTCAGCTTTCTAAACCCAACAGAAAGATCATTCTGCCCAATATCAAATGTGTAGAGTGCTTTGGAGAAATCCTCTGGTCTTGGAAGTTTGTCTCTCTCAGATGGATTCTTGGCTAATAATGATCATCAACAACAAAATTAATAAAATAAAATAAATCAAGATAAAAAGAGAAAACGTCAAATTACGAATTTAATCTGAACTTTGATGATCGTGTTATTTAGTCTCTGATCCTTACAAAATTTTCTATTAGATTTGCAAACTTGGAATTGTTTCCTCTGTAGGTTAACTCTATCATCTAAATGATGATGTAATATGCTTTTTTATTTTTTTTATTTATTTAATTTTTTTTTTTTTGAAAAGGATGTAATATGCTCATTGGACAAACATTAGCTTATATGACATATGGTGACATACAGATGAAGAAGAAAAAAGATAATTTGGGCAAAATAAAACAACATGATCTATAAAATTTAAATGACAATATGACATGTAAACATGAGCTTAGCTCGTAATTGGAACCTATCTCTAACTAAAAAGGTCATGAATCCTCCGCCCCATTTATTGTACTAAAAAAAATGACAATGTGACACCAAGACAAACATTAGTTTATTTGACATATCATGACATATAATGAGAAAAAATAAATGGATAATGACTGACACGTTCAAAAATTTAATAAAATTAAGTCAAATTATAAGTAAGCACAAAATTCAATTTCCTAAATATTAGGATCTTGACTTTTCACTCGGTGTCTAATAAATCTATGAATTTTAAAAAATATTTAATATTTAATAGGCCAATCACCTATTAGATACAAATCTAAAACTACAAAAATTCAACTATGTTTCGAAAAGAGAATAAGTTGCACGACACCTTATCCAGATATCTACTCATTTCTACTATCTACTTATCATCGATGATAATCACAATTCAAGCTTTACTGACCTAATTGATTTTTTTTTTTAAACTTAAGGCTGAGTAAATGCAGCCAGAGTTTAGGGACCCAGATTTATAATTAAATTGAAAAGAATATGAAGATATTTATGGCCTAAATTTAGGATGAAGTGAAGCTTTAATTCATGGCATTTTGAAACCTTGGTTGTAGAGATCAATGGAGCGAGCTTTGAACTGTTCAAATTGGATAACCTGAATGTCGAGAGAAAATGGACTTATTCCATATTCAAAAATGGTTTCATTCTGCCTCCTCACCGTCGATCCGCCGGTGGCAAAATTGGCGCCGTACCGGAAATTAGCGCCGAGCGAATTCAGGTAAGCATTCAGGTACGGCAATCTCAACATCTCGGCTGCAAAATCAGAAGCCCTAAGTGAATTTCAACAACTTCGCCGGAAAGTGAGGGAGAATGACGGAATGTTACGTCACTTACCGATGAAGTCGATGATGAGACGGCCGTCGCTGTCCCGTCCAGACGGCTTGTGGAAGAATCCTTCTCCATACGGCGCTCGAAT